TTACAAATAAAATGCTTTAAAAAAATTGCATAACCTCTTAGAAGAGTTGATAATTGACACAATACTGTTACTGATAAAATGGTGAGACTATAATTGATGAACGATCATTGGGCAACGCTAGGCTGACCTTGAGAGTGTCCACCTGGTAACCAGGACCAAATGAGGGTTATCAATTAATGTGAAGAATTCGAATTATGATTTACAGTTGGTAATTAAGGTTAGAAATTGGATTTAGGGTTTTTTTTAAATCATGAACTGACATCAGCTATTATTCGGAAACTCTATTTATCCGAGTGAATGAGTGAATTTCGCGCCAAAATCCGAGACCTGTTATCTTATACGTGATTTGTCCGTCCATAAATTATAGTCTCGCCGATAAAATTGATATGTTCGGTACTTTCTCAATATATTATTAACCATGAGTAATAAATACAAGTAATTTCAAAAGTAGAATTAGTGGGATTGAGGAATTCACTCAATTATAGTGAATGAAATATATGTAGTGTGTAGAAAGTTATTGTCCAGTATGATATATGTTATTGGTATGACTAGAATTGCATCACATGACATTAATAGTGGCTGAAACCAAACACAACACTTATTTATAGAGTTAATGTGTTATATTTTTAAATATAAGTTATGTCTCTGTAGTATCTGAAATCAATCAGTCAGTCAGTCAGCTACAACGTAGGACCAGTAAAATATATGCATCGGTCCAAGTCGCCGTACCTCATTAGCACAACAAGATGAACACCAGATTCATAGAAGTAGTCAATTCAGTGGTGGTAATATAGTACAGGAGGGAAGAATTAGTTGGTAGAAAGAAAGATATGAAGCAATTTTAATCGGGAAGGCAGAGAGTGTATACACCTACGCCATTTTGGTCGATTCTGAACCCAAAATCTCTAACCATTGGTTACGATAGTCACGCGGACCTAAACCAAGTAGTTTGCATCTACCAACATTGCCCAGACCAGAATTTAGTGACTTTGTGGACTGATGTCAAGTTTTGGTTTTGCCGCCCCTAACTTTCTTTCAATCATCCCCAACACTAGTTAGCAAGTGTCTGAAATGACATAAATAAATAGTTTATTTCTTAAAACTAATTAAAATGGTACTGATTATCTGTCTTTTGATTAAAATATTGAATATTCAATTTTACTTAAATCAGTTGCTCACTTCAACAAAGAAATTTCTTTCATTTCATTTTTTCTCAATATTCAAGTTAATCGATCAGGAGTTGACTATTAATCAGAATTTCATTGCATAACAACTATACTAACCAGTTAACAACAAAAGGAAAAGAATTGTCTGTATAAGATATTATAGAGTATATTGAATTTATAGTTTCTCATCATAGACTGACTCTAGTTGTGCAGTTATAAAAATTTTGCAAGTATTAGATAGCTATATCTTCCTGGGATAGGACCATTTAGCAGTATGTATCCATGACTTACATGCTTCAATGTGAGCATTTAATTTTTCAGCTACTGATTTAAGATTTGTTCGTTAACATTTCTATTCTGGCTTGAAGAGGTATTTCCTGGAGTTCTAGTGGGAAGCAGTGACCAGTAGAGTTCGACCGGGTCTGTTGTGAGATAGTAACTCACTGATAACAATGGTGGATATGTCACTGAATTTTGTGGATTAGTTGGAGTTAGACATTAACACTGTTGGATGCTGGCTGGCTCATTGGTCTAGTTGGTTAAGCACCTGGCGCGAACTGATAGGTCCTGGATTAGAATCCCGCGAGGCGGGGTCATGGATGCGCACTGCCGAGGAGTCGCACAATAGGACGAATCAGTCGTCCTTTGCTTTCATGTTTTTCATGGGGGTCCAGCTTTAATTCACTCATTGACCCATTAAAAGCCAGAATGATCTTAACAATTATTTCGTTCTAGTATGAGACTCTATATCTGTGTCGTTATATAAGTCCACCAAAGATCTCAACTATTAAAAGTAGACAAATAGATCAAACTATACACATTTATAATATATACAAACACCAACTCTCTAATTACAATTCAATTTAATGTTAGTTAATTCATTTTAAAATAAGCTGTAAACGAGTAAATGAAGTGTAATATACAATATACACGTTTAGATGGTGGTTGGAGGTAGTCAACAGGAAACTCTGGATCCGGGTTTCGTGCTACTTGGCACTCGTCAGCAAGGTGTAGCTGTAATCTTGAGGGAACTGGTGCTCCCTGGCGGATTCGATCTCGTGTCACCCAGCTTATACACATTTCTCTACTTCTTGTACTTACTAAAATAATGAGTGGACGCGGTAAAGGTGGGAAAGTTCGTAGTAAGGCTGAAACAAGGTCAGCCCGTGCTGGTCTTCAATTCCCTGTTGGTCATGTACAAAAATTACAATTTAAGTTTTGTATAAAGTAAATTCATGATAATAAATTATCAAGTTTTAAATAGACAAAAATTTTATTTAAGTGCAAAGAAAAAAAATAGAGAAAAAGAAAAAAAAGAGAAAAGGAATAGAGAAAAAATAAAAAGAATGACGAGAAATAAACTATCGTATAATAATGATATTTTAAATGAATTAGGAACAAATTATATTTATCTTCCATGTATTCACTAATACATACCTACATACATACACAATGAATCTATTCACTTGAATAGTGTTAGTACATATACTGAAATGAAACAAACGGAAATCTGTATGCATTTAGAATGAAAGTTATAACATTGTTATTCGACTTTCGACTGATGATATATACTACTTATATTTATCGAGATCAGTAGCACATAAGATTAAGGGAATTAAGGTCAAGGAAGGATGAGAGATTGGACGAATCGTTTTTGCATGCAAAGTTCAAGCTAAAGTTCGTGGATTGTCAATGCTTCAACAGTGCATAAAATATTATCGAATTAATATTCCATGTATTCACTAATACATACATACATACATACACACACACACACAATGAATTCATTCACTTGATTAGTGTTAGTATACACTGAAATGTAACAAACAAAATACGGAAACAAACGGAAATCTGTATGCATTTAGAATGAGAGTTATAATGTGGTAAAAAAAAGTTACTTTCCTATATAGATTGGGTTCCTATTTTTTAATCTTTATTTCAGTAATTGATGATAAATAGGTAGTTTTCATTTGGTCTGAATGTTGTTTTTTTTCAATAAAATAACTTTGATTCTTCCTATTCATTTTAAAATTTAATTCTATATCCCTCTTAGCAACAATCATGGAGATATTCTTTATAGGACGTTGAAAAAGGTGATATACGAATGTTGTTTAGTTATTAGATGATTGGAAAAACTGTCCGAACATACAAAACAACCTCCAACTATCATCTAACATATAATATCAAGTCACCCAGATTTATGATGATATTAGAACTCTCTTCAAAGAATTAGATTAACACTAAAGACTAAATAAAGATAATATTACTTATGACTTAGTAATCTATTGAGTGTAACTGTTGTTCAGTCTGTGAAAGGTTTTCTAACTAAAGTTACCTCTTGATCAATAGCAACTTCTTATTGAACAATCCTTAATCCATGTCGAGTAGAGATAGGTATCTATCTCAGTACAGTGGGGGATGGTCGAGCGATTTCGTGGATTGGTTGAAGTTAGACATGAACACTGTTGAATGTCGGCCGACTCAGTGGTCTAGAGGTTAAGCGTCCGTGCGTGCGATCGATAGGTCCTCGGTTCGAATCCCGTGGGCGGGATTGTGGAGTCACACAACAGGACGAAACGGCCATCCAGTGCTTCCAAGTTTTCAATAGCGATCTAACACTAATCAGTTCATGATCTCAATCAGAAATCCCTACAAACTTTGATTTGAATATCTATGTTTGTTCATTTATATGTCATTTTGTCCACTATCTAGGGTTTTTGTAGATGGAGTTTAAAGTATTCAAGTATTAACAGACAGAATAAAATTATATCGATATTAAATGCGTTTACGTCAATTAGTTTTGGTGAATTAGAATTGTATTTCGTTTGTCTTATATGTTTCAAATTAGCTTGTTTAACTTTTGACAACTAAATTATTTTTCACACAACAGTTAAAGTAACTTTGTGAATTTTATTCCAACTTGACTTCTTGTTGAGTTTAAGTGTTCGTTTGTTCTTGCTCACTACACTGAGTATCTATAAACAAATAGGAATTTTTTGAACTGAAAACGAAACAAAAGATTCTCACTCTTGAGAAATTCATACATGAGATGGTGTTTTCTAAGTATGGAATGGATTCGTTGGTAATTTGATCTTTTCTTACTTTAAGTTGAAAATGATTTACGTCTCATACAAAGCATACTTAAACCAGCATTGAAGATCTAGCTGTTTCAACTTGTTATGATATTCTCTAGGGACATTCACACACACACACATACGACTACATCATGGATCACATATTAGTCTGTCAGACTCAGTGGTTAGTATCTTATCTTTAGACCATTGAGCTTAACTCTAATAGTTCATAATTTTTACTTTAACTTAAGGTCTTGCGGTAACTGCTTAATCTTAAAACCACTCACCCACCATCCAATTGTGTACATTTCTAACTTCAATCAATTCACAATATTAATCAACCATCTTTCAATCTCATTGGTAGTTAACTACCTCACATGCAACATAATCATTACGAACCTTTATTAAACTCACAATAAATTAGTCAATAGTGAACACATCCATCCATTCAACGCTTTTTGATCTTCAATGGTTATCTGACTAAGATCAGTCTATCATCAAACTACACAAATCCCCATACTACTATGAGTAGTGCTTGTTCAAGATTAAATTTTTTAATGATATAATCCTTTCAAGATTCACAATACTGAATAGGTTCATTGGTGAAATTCTAACGAACTATTCTTTTTTGTTTTCAATGTTCAATGCTGATATTCTTTTTTTTCTTTTTCTTTTTCTCCCCCTCCCTTTCTTCTATTTTGTCACTTTAGATTTCCAAAAATTCTATTTTCCATTTTTGATTAAATGCAATTGATAACATAAAAAGAAAAAAAATAGAAAAAAAGAAAAAAAATAGAAAAAAAGAAAGAAAAAAATGGGTAACATTTTAGGATCAAGAAAAAAATTACCAAAAGAAGATTTAGAATTTTTAAGAACGAATACAAATTTTACAAAAAAACAAATTAAACAATGGTATCGTGGATTTATAGTAAGTGATTGGTGATACTTTGTTTGTTGTATATAAAGTGATATTTGTACTTTGTAATATGTAAGTGTATACTTATTTAGAATGTTTAATATTTATTAACTTCTATTGTATAATAGTTGAAATAGAGAAGGTGATTTACAGTTAAGGTTAGTAAATCAGTCAGTCAGTCAGTCATATGCAACATGAAAACTTGGGACATGTTTCCATTGGTTAATGTTGTAAAACCTTATCAGTACAATGAGATGGAATGATCAGGAGAAATTCAGGTATAGTAGTGCAGTGAATGAGAACATAAATGGGGACAATTGATTGTAGTTGAGCACAAAATTATAGAACATTTTAGTAAAATCTAAGAATCATACAGTGAATATTTAGTTTATAAAATGTCAATCATTTGTCTCAAACTTGACTGTTTTTCTTTTGTAAATATCAGTCAATCATTTGAGACTTCAGTGTTCCAGTATTTCCATACCAATCGCTTTCTATTTCTGTACTTTTCTTCTCTATCTTGTCGATCGTCTGTTGCCAGACATTCTATTCTTGACTAGTGTTATATACTACTTACGTCGATATACGTAGCCCACATCACAGTATAAGTGGAAGAAAGGATTTAAGAAAATTAAAACTAGTGAAATGAGAAACTAAACTTTATAAGAAATTTATAAACTTAGAACCTAAGAGAAGATAAATAATTCATTCACTTGCGTCATTGTGATGGATTGTGAGATATCTCGCCGAATGCTTCCAATCATGTGTTACGATAATGGAGCACACTTGAACTAGGTAGTTTGTGTATACCTACATAGCTGAATGCAACTGGTATTTATTTATTTAAACACATAAATATTGGAAAAAAGGGGTACCTAATACATAGGCGTCACACAAGTCAGTTGGTTTGTGTGTGGGCTGTGATACTGCCCGGGTCCCCAGACGTAAGCAGGCAGTTTTCTTAGGAAGCCAAACCCGGAGCCTTCGACCTACAGGTCTGATCCACAATGCAATGGAGCAACGTCAGAAAATGCAATTTTATGATAGCTGGTGACCAATAATTGGTTCATACGCCATTTGTTCCTTCAGGATCTTGGAGACAATGTGCACCAATGGTTTGGAATGAGGGTTTTCCAACTCTCCTAGATGGACTCTTCGTGTCCACCAACCCAGTTAAATCGCTAGATATTCGCTTTTCGTTTTCTCAACTGCGGATAACTTCATGGATTGATGCCACGTTTTGGTTTAGTCGTCTGTAGTCTTCTTCCAACCTATTCCTTTCTCAGACATCATGGCTCATCGTGGTAGATAGTAGTTGGGCATGTGTAATACATGTCTCAACCATTCCAATTGATAAGAATTTACTACCTCATCAATCTACTTGGCATCCTTACTTGGTACTCTGAGTCAAACATAAGAACTGATATTTCAGCGGTTCCAAATTAAATGATCAATGCTCTGGAAACTTCAATGATCGAAGTTGAACGCTTTAGAATTGTCGAATTCTCTGAAATATATGGTTTAATTGCAAAGCTTTCGTTATCATTCTGGATGACATCATCAACGCTCGCTTTATTCCGATCAGTTGACAAAAGACAGACACATCTAGATTGATTCAATCTAACAACCCTTACAAAAATGTTCAGTCAACCATATGATCATAACAACTGAACAAGATAGTTAAGTTGAATACAAAGAAAAAAATGGTAAAGAAATCTATGTTGAACGAATTTATGACTCATGAATTATATATAAATAACCTATTTCAACATCAAGTAAGCACTGATCCAGAATAACTGCATCAACATAAAAATGATCCAAGACCCAAAGATCTAACTGATGGAACTAAACAATACCAAATGATTAACATATGTTTGAAAATTTATATATTTTTTCCCGAATAATACATATATACTAACGGTTGTATGTTTACAGTACAGTTCACATTAACCATCTAAATTCTTATCTTGTTCGATTTTATCGAAAACGTTCAGTTTACTTATGAGACAAGTATATAAACAGATGTGGTACAGTTTATGTTTTATTAGCCTGAAAAATTCATAGTGATTATTCAATTCTTAATTTACATAAAAATCCAGCGTTTTACTTACTTACGTCTGTTACTCCCAATGGGGCATACGCCGACGACCAGCATTCTCCAACACACTCTGTCCTGGGCCTTCCTTTCCAGTTCTGTCCAATTTTTGTTCATTTTTCTCATGTCTGTCTCCATCTCTCGGCGTAATGTGTTCTTTGGTCTTCTTCTTCTCCTTTGTCCTTGAGGATTTCATGTGAGGGCTTAACTTATAACGCAGTTGGGTGCTTTCCTCAATGTGTATCTTATCCACTTCCAGTGTTTCTTCCTAATTTCTTCCTCCGCTGGGATCTGGTTTGTTAATCTCATACTATTCTATTGATAGGATGTAGTGACTTGAAATAATCGAGTTGTATACCAGATTCTGTGTTGTTAAGTACTGATTATTTCACGTAAAGTGACTGATTATTCTGTTTTTATTTTGTTAAAACCTACAGACTAATCAAATTCATATTCGGATTGAGATCATGAACCGATCGATACTAGACCACTATTGAAAACCTGGAAGCACTGAACGGCCGTTTCGTCCTATTGTGGGACCTCTCAGCAATGCGCGCCCATGGTCCCGCTCGCGGGATTCGAACCCAGAGCCTTCGGTCTCACGCGCAAACGTTTATCCTACTGGACCACTGAGCCGGCATCCAGTGGTGTTAGTGTCTAACATCAACCAATCTACGAAGTTGCGCAATCATCTTCCATTGTACTGAGGTAGACACCTGTTTCTACCCAACACGGATTAGCTCCACTGGTCACGGCTTCCAGGTTTGCACTTGTGGTCTAACATCAATCAGTTCATGATCTCAACCAAAACTTAACAATCTCTACAACCCCTATACTGATAAATTCATATTCAATTACTTCCCATTAGGTATTTCCTCAATCTGAATTTTGACGTTACTCTACATTAAAAATTAGTATTTTTCAATCATTACAATGGGAAGATGAAGGATAACTACTGAATTTCAATGAAATGACTGATCAGTAGCGTACTTATCACAAGAATTAAAGAGACCAGATTTCATTTATAATGTAATTATGAATGATCTGTACATATAAGATAAATTATTTCTGAATAAATTCACTTGGTATTGTTTACTTGATTCTTCCCATTGATGCTTAGGACTGTGATTGATCACTCTCTTGTTGGCATATGTACTTCCTGTGCAAACTGCTTCAATACTGCTTGAAGTCACAAGCGTTATAAGCAAAGATGGATAGTGGCTAACAGTAGAATCCAGGACTACTGTTTCGTCTTATTTAGTACTTGTCAAGTGAATGTACCCTCATCTTGGAGTTGATGATCGCTCCGGGACTCGAACTCAGTACCGTTCACTGAAAATATATTGTACTATTTGTATTGGAGCAAAATTTATGCATAATATTCTATATTTCAAGCAATTTTTACTGATAATAAATCAGAATAAAAGTTTCTTTCTTTGACCTTAGATTTCATGATAGTTGACAATCTTTTAAGAATTGATACTGCCATAGAGATTTGAACTAACACCAACCAAGTTGACATTCAAAGATGTTTTAACAGAGCTGTTATTAAAGACTATTGAAATTTCAGCTTCACACTTTTAAACTAAAATCTATACATTAAGAGAAGTGTCATAATTATGTAACCTTCATTTAGAAATATGAATTAATGAAAATAAAAACTAACAAGGATAATTTTACTAAAACAAAAATATATTACTATCTTCCATTGTCTAAGATAGATATGTATCTCTACCTGTCATGGATTAACTTCACTGATCACAGTTTCTCATTAGAACTCCAAGGAATTACCTCTCAAAGCTAATCACTATTGAACATATGATAATTATTAGTAAAGGGTTGTAAAGATTATTGAATTTTTGATTGACATCATAAATCAATTAATGTAAGATCATCATTAAATACCTGGAAGCAATGGAAGCAAAAGAATATTATACTAATTATATATGTTATTTCAGTGGTTAATATCATGAGTCAGTTGAAGCTAGACCACCATGAAAAACTTGGAAGCACTGGACGGCCGTTTCGTCCCATTGTGAGACTCCTCAGCACTGAGCATCCACGACCTCGCCCCTGCAAGATCCGAACCCACGACCTACTGATCTCGCGCGCTACCACGTTTTCCATGGTGCTTTAGTTTCAACTGACTCATGATCTTAACCACTGAAATTACTATAATATCCACAAAACCCATTTGATATATGTTATTGACTGAAATAAATGAAAGAATGAAATTTTCTACAAGTAACATTTTATGTACACCAATTTGATTTAACTTATCAACCAAATATAGGTGTCGAATTGTTTTTCGACAGAACTAAAACAAATTACTTAATAATATTGATTATTTATCATTGATTATGGTTCATTCTTGTTTTAGAAAGTTGTTAACTATTCATAAATACCGCTAATAAATTTGAAAAGAAAAAAGAAAAAAAAGAAAAATCTACTTCAAAAATACTTAAAACACTTTTAGCTAAGTCTATAATTTATGTTAAGTGAATTGTTTAGATGAATGAAAATATAAGTTAATGTAAATGATTTGTAGGGATTATTAAGTTTTATAGTTTAGATCATGAATCGATCTTAATTGGATAACCATTGGTAAATTAAGAATCAGAAGGGGTTTTGTGGAGATTGTAATAATTTCAACAGCTGAGATCATGAGTCCATTGAAGCTAGACCACCATGGAAAACTTGAAAGCACTGGATGGCAGTTTCGTCCTCTTGTGGGACTCCTCAGCAGTGCGCATCTACGACCCCGCCTTGCAGGGATTCGAACCCAGGACCTACAATAGGACGAAACGGCCGTCCAGTGCTTCCAGGTTTTCCATGGCGGTCTAGTTTCAATTGACTTATGATCTCAACTATTGAAAATATCACAACATTCACTAAACCGCCTCTGATACTAATTAAC